GGGGCCTGGGTTGGGGGTGAGGGAGGAGGTATGGGGGCAGGTGTAGCACTTCCTGCGGTTGCAGGGAAAAATGCTGGGTGTGGTGGGGCTGGAGGGGAGTGTGGAGCGGACAAGGGAGTCACGGAGAGAGTTGTCCCTCCGAAAAGCAGATAAGGGTGGGGAGGGAAAGATGTCTTTGGTGGTGGGGTCGGATTGCAGATGGCGGAAATGTCGGAGGATGATACGTTGGATCCGGAGGTTGGTGGGGTGGTACGTGAGGACGAGGGGGATTCTTTTTTGGTTTTTATTGCGTGGACGGGGTGTAAGGGATGAGTTGCGGGAAATGTGGGAGACACGTTTGAGGGCGTTCTCGACCACTGAGGGGGGGGAGTTACGGTCCTTGAAAAACGAGGACAACTGAGATGTACGGGAGTGGAATGCCTCATCCTGGGAGCAGATGCGGCGGAGGCGAAGGAATTGGGAATAGGAGATGGCATTTTTGCAGGAAGGTGGGTGGGAGGAGGTGTATTCTAGGTAGCTGTGGGAGTCGGTGGGCTTGAAATGGATATCGGTTTCTAGGTAGTTGCCCGAGATGGAGACAGAGAGGTCGAGGAAGGAGAGGGAGGTATTAGAGATGGTCCAGGTAAACTTAAGGTTGGGGTGGAAGGTGTTGGTGAAGTGGATGAACTGTTCGAGCTCCTCGTGAGAGCACGAGACGGCGCCGATACAGTCATCAATGTAACGGAGGAAGAGGTGGGGTTTAGGGGCGGTGTAGGCATGGAAGAGGGATTGTTCCACGTAACCTACAAAGAGGCAGGCGTAGCTTGGGCCCCGAAACGTCAGCCTTTCTGCTCCTATGATGCTGCTTGGCCTGCTGTGTTCATCCAGCTCTGCACCTTGTTGTCTCGGATTCTCCAGCATCTGCAGTTCCTACTATCTCTGACACATTTACAGACTTAACTTCTGTCTTTAACTATATCCTGCATTCATTGTAATACTTTTCAGAGAAGGGGAGTGGGAGGTCAAGACACCACATGCTGCACATCAACTCAGGCCATTGGACCATAAAAAATAGGAACAGGACAAGGCCATTCGGCCCTTCAAGCCTGATCTGCCATTCAATAGGATCATGGCTGATCCAATATTCGTTACATCCACTTTTCTGTCCTTAGCTGTAACTCTCGAGTCCCCTACTGATCAAGAATCTCATGACAATAAAATCTAATTCTAAATTCTATCCGAACCTTAAATAGACACAAGGACTCTACTCCCAAAGCTCCCTGTGGCAAGGAGTTCCTAACACTCACAACCATCTGAGAAAAGAAATTCCTCCTTATCTCAGTGTTAAATTGACATCTCTTCATTCTGAGACTGTGCCTTCTAGTCCTGGATTCTCCCATGAAGGAAACATCCTCTCAGCCTTGAACCTGTCAAGCCCCTTAAGAATCCTCTACATTTCAATGGGATCACCCCTCATTCTAAACTCCAGTGAGCAGAGTCCCAACCTGTTTAGCTCTTGCTCATAAGATAATCCCTCCATACCAGGGAGCCT